TGATGCAAATTTATCAGAAAAGTCTTTTTCTAAGCATTGCAAAATTGCATTGCTGTTCCCTTTGGATAAAATCTTTCAAATATATAATATAAAACATGATCTTAATGGTCCATATGTAATTAGGTACTATCGAAATATAATAGAAATGAGTGAGTATCATTCTTGCTGAGAATCAGTCGCTCTTGCAATTCACAGCTACCTTGAAAGACTTTACAACTTCTTTTTAATCATGGGCTACTAGCACCTTTAGCTTGGATGCTGCAAAGTATACCTTTTGCTTTCTATTTCTTGAATAGCTTGCTTAAAACGTTATGATAAATTTTACATGCTTAAAAATAGAAACAAATTTTCTCTAGTTCCAGTTTTTCTTTTTGGGTAGCTTTATTTACAATCCCATTCTCTTCTGTGATTTTAAAACGTTGCATGTTCTCTGTCACCCATTTTGCCATTTCCAATGTTCTGGTTCGAATATATATGATTTCCAGTGCTAAAATGATATGTTTGAGTTGATTGACATTCAACAGTAAGGAACTAAGTGATAAGTTGCCTGCTCCTAAGCTTTAATAATATCCATTAGATGCCAGAATGCTATTTGATAGGATGAAGCATTGTTCTTCTTTCCTGTATAACAACAGGACCTCATATGGCAATTTCTTTGTCATTTTATGAAATAACATGGATATGTTTTGTGAGATCTGATTCCCTGAAGACACACAAAGATCTATTTTACTGGGCAGCCAGACAGCTGGCTTTTATTTTTGTTCACGATCTCTGCTGTATATTCTAAGATAGAATAACATAGGTTTCTGATAGGTTTTTTTGCACAATGAGGAAAGCGTTTTACCAGTTGGATGCTTTCAGATATAAACAAAACCATCTGTTCTATTAAAAGCATAGCAGAATTTAGTTCTTCCTTGTGAATAAAAGCTTGTTGCTGCCATAGAAAAATGTATTTTACAGAGGGATAAAATAATTCAATTGCAAGAAAATTCTCTGAATTTTTTGTTTGTCTTTTGATGTTTGCAGATACTGCTCTAATTTTACTTTCATCATGCACTACAGGACAATGAAGTGTTGCATCTCCCTACCAAAGAAAACATGCCAAAGATATGCTGTTTACCAAAGTCTTCTGAAGTTTGTGAGACTGAAATCACAAGGGATTCAGTAGCTGTGTTTTCAACTGTTTGAGAATTTTTGCAATTAACTTCTCAACGTATGGGTGGAGGACAGGAGGGAAGTAATCCTGTTGTCTTAGCTGCCAGCATGTACATCTTAACAAACTTTTTTGCCTTTCTGTGGAGTCCCTTCTGAGCAGCTTGCCTCTTTGGCTGGCAGCTGCGACAGTCGGGCTCCCCTGCAGGTGCGCTTGTTAAAGACACCGAAATCCCAAGGTGGCAGCTGCCGAAATGAGCGGCTGTTTCTGCTAACTCGTCCTTTCGCAGCTAGCCTTCCTCCCAGCCGCTGCGGGGCAGGAGTCAAGCGTTGGCGGTACATCCTGAAAAATACTGCATGCTGGTGAGCTCCGAAAGAGCAGAGGGTACGACCCTAGCTGTCTGCGTTGCATCGGCGGTGTTTGCAGGACGCCTGGTTTCCATTTAAACACCCTCGCAGTGGCTCGTGCGGCCCGTCGCCTTGCCCGTGGCAGCGGCCGTTAGCTGGGCCACCAGCCTGGAGGTTCTCAGAGCTCTGTGAATGGGTGAGCTTTGGCCACAGCTATTTGACTGAAATTTTGGGCAAGCTCCCTGTGTGAAAGACCGCATAGGAAGAGCCTTCTAGATGTGTGGTTGCTGTACATGAAGAGTATGTGTAAGGAAAATTTCACTTTACAATTCAAGTTATAACATCAAGCTTTAGAAATGCCCAGATCTTTTTGGCTTTCATTTGCACAGACATTTTAATATACTGCTTAATTCAAACCAAAGATTTCTTTTGCTCAGTTTATATATATTCTATTTCATTTTTAATCTTTTGTGGTAGAACGTTCTCCCAAAGTTGCTATAGAAGGGTATATCTCATCACAGAGAAGCTATTTCCAAGGTAAGAACTTGATTTATTTGGACTAAGATTATCTTGCAGTTCAGCATTTCCTTCGCTACTAACAGCAACAAGCAGTAAGATATCCTGTTAGCTCTGTAGCTTGGTGTTTGATGTGATTTTTTTCTCATGGTAAGGAAACAACAGCCTAGCTAAAATCTCTCCTGCTCCCTGTTTTAGTGGGCACTGGCATGACGTTTGCTGGAGACTGATTGAGACAGATCCATTGGAACCGAATGCGCGGTGTAGCTGTGAACATAGCCACTGCTTGCTTGTCACAAGTGAAGTTAGTAAAACTATTCAAATGACAAAAATATATTCAGTTAGATATGCTTCTCTGTTCTGGAAATTAGACTTCTTTTTTTCCACGGCTGTGTCGAGCCCTTGTGAGCTGGAGCCGTTATATTGCCTCCTTGAGAAGATCTTGCAGTCTTAGATAAGAGGCAATCAATGCACGTGAAAATAAATAAGTGTGTGGGGGGGAAAAAGAGGTGGGAAGAGAGAAGGCTGCCAGTTGTATGCATATAGTCAGGGGCACATCTTCATGCTTCTGGATGACAGAAGAGTTTTGCTTTAGCTGTAGCAGACTCAGCTGTGGCTGCCTGCCCCGGTGCCTGGTCTTCGCCCTGTGCGGCGGCGGCTGGACCGAGGTGCTCCCGGGTGCTCGCTGCCGGCTGCTCTGCCCCAAACACGCTGCCAAAAGGTGCAGCTGTATTTCTGCTCAATGTGCTGATTATATTGGTACAAAAAAAAAGAAATTTGTGCTAGGGCTCTGGACTGTGGGTATAAACATTTAGCTTGCCAGCGGCTTGTAAATTATGTAAAACTGGGATAATTGTACTAACATACTGCTCTAAAAAATGTACAGTCAGGCAAACTGTATCTATTGTTTTAATGCCATTTTTTTCTCACCTTCCTATTTCACGCTTGTATGTCTCCTTAAGTAGGGTGTCTGCACACTGTGTATTGAATGTCACTCAACATGCATTTAAAAGCAGATATCTGTTTCTGGCCATTTTAAGAAAAAAAACTCTCGCAGGACCTCTGGCACGGTACAGCGTGATGCGCTCTGCGTTGCTGCGCGTTGCTCAGGGCGTGCAGGGAGCTGCCGCGGCTGCAGCTGCTCACCTGAGAACGGAGAAGAAACTCCTATGCGGTGAGGAGAGATCTCTTATGCCG